TGCATCTGCCGCCGAGTTCGCGACCGCTCCCCTCCCCCACGCATGTGTGGGCTGTGACATTGCCGCGGCCACAAAGGAGGAGGTGGAGGTGGAGGCGACGGCGGTGGCAGAACAGGTGGCCCACGCCCTGCGCGGCAAGCCCGCGCGCGACCCGCAGTGGAAAGCAGAAAAGTTAATGCGGCAGGTCTGGGTGGCTTTGTGTGGGGAGGACGCGGAGGGACGGCGAGAGCCGAGGCAGGGGGCTATCCCTGAGTGGAGCGCGCGCGGGCAGCCCTGCTCACGGAGCTTCAGGTTTGAGTCGCCTGCTGTCCTGTCCCCTGTAGCCTTGCGGGTTTGCCCTCTCGCCCTTTGCGAACCCGACTCCGGGGTTCATTGTGGCATTCGGGCGGACCACTGCGAAAGCCTCTCGGGCTGGTGGGTTACAGCCCAAGTCCTGAGCCAGCCTCGGCCAAGCTGGATTCTCATCAAGGCAAAGAGTTAAAAACAGAATGACATGCTATGTTTGCCGTGGAAGAATCATCCGAGGAGACATGTTGAAAAGTCATAATAACCACTTCGGAATTAACCATATGACTTGGTGTCACTCTTCGAGGAAGGGCCAGCCAGGTTGCTGACCCCCCCCCCCCCATGTGATAGACAATAGACATCAAACATGCGTGGTATCAATATATGTACTTTGAAACTGTAGCCATCCTCAAGCATCCTTGGTTTTAAGAGGTGTCAGGTAGTAATTTAATTTTACACCTTTTAAAAAAATTAGCAAAATTGTTGGGATCTAGTCCCAGTCACACCCCTTACTACCTTTTGTAATGGGGGGGGGGGAGGGTGCGTCTTTCTGGCTTAAGCTCTTCTTTGAGTAAGACTTTTTTTTCTTCTCGTAGACTTAAATATTACTAGGTTTAAAAAACCTGACTTAAGAATTTTTATCTTCAGCAAAAACTAGTGCATCAGTAAGTACCAGGAGATGTGTCTCTAATCATCACACATGTGATCCAGTATCTGTTCACAGTGTACCCTAAGTTAGCCAACATTTTAGTCTGTAGGACTTATTTACACCCTTAAATAATTATTGAGGGTCTCAAAAATCCTTTGGGGGGACATATCAGTATTTACCACATTAGAAGAAACAATTTTTAGGTTTCAGTTAATTTAGAACTAGAAATAACATGTCTATTGGTAACATGGATGCATTTTCAATGAAAAATAACTTTTCTAAAGCAAAATAAGAATTAGAGTGGCATTGTTTACACATTAGCAACCTGTTTAATTGTATGTCTTCATAGGAGATGATTGTACTCACTTATACGTGCATCTTATACCTGCATTCTCTTATTGTGACTAGAGCCCAGAAAGCTACCTGCATTTGTAAAATTACAGTTAGAAGGCTAAAAAACAATTGCTATAAAAATAGTTTTAACCTCGTGTTCCCTGCCACACAAAGTCTTAGGAACCCGTTGGGTTCCTGAATTGCTCTTGTAAGCTAGCCACACTATTTGTGGGAGAGAGGGGCAAAGGTCATATTTCCATGTGATTCTTTTCATCTATCTCATTTGCCATGGCCTACATTTGTTATAATACTTGAAGGCCAACAGGTAAGTTATGTTAGAACTGGCTCCCAGGATGGCCCCAGACACGCAGCAAGAAAGGATAGGTGGGGCAGAGCAGGACAGGGAGTTGGATGAAGGGCTGGGGACAGTGTTTTCTGACCTTGTTTCTGTTATCGAGGGGCTCAGGCACAAGGTGAGGAGGACAATATGTTGGAAAAACAGCTACATTTTTCTCTCTTGGTACCTGGGTGAATAATTCTTGTTCATCAATTAAGTAGACTGTGTATTTCGTGTTTATTTACACTATATACACATACATTGATCTGGAACTATTTATTCTATAATAATGTGGCTTTACTCCCATTCTTTTACAGCCATGCCCCTTTATTTGTAATAATATGTATTGTATAAGGGAAAGGAGAGAAAATGTCTTCATGTAATAGCGACTAAAAAATAACAGATCTTTTCTATTTGGGGATTATTAACTGTATAATTTGCCAGTACTTACTGCACCTGTCGGGAGACAGTGTACTGTAAGCAGAGTCAAAGTTGCAGGGGCTACTGAGAAACTCTTTACGTCTTTCACATTTTTTTTCTTGCCAAAAGTAGTGTTTATCTCTGAATTCCACTCTATTTTTCTTGTGCAGAGGTAACTGTTTTTTAGTACTCATATAGGATTATATGTTATAATTGATCTGATGAGTTATACCAAATAGTTGATCCCAAATCCTTAAAACTACTTTTTAACCTTTGTTTTCCCCACAGGTAACTTAAAGATAAAAATGTCATCAAATATTATCTTTATTTGCCTCATTGCCTAGGTTTTTCTTTCCCCACAATTCGGTTTTGACACCAGACTCCTATTTTGTTGCCTATCATGAAAGAACTGTTCCGATGGCTTTAAAACAGAATTCTGCAACTGTTGGCTCCAACAAAGATGCTCTTAGGCTACCTACTTGCAACTTTTAATATCCAGTCAACCAGGAATACTGCAAGGGTGGATGTGGGGATAGCTGTCAGCAAGCTTATGCAGGTGTGTCCACAGGGTATAGAGCGCTGTGCAGACACTCATCCTTAGTGAAGTCACAATACATTCCTTTGAGAGCCATTAGCTGCTACAAAACAGCAACCTGGCTGTGTGATCAAACACGCTGGATGAATACAGGATGAAGGAACTGGTTTCCCTGTATTTTTATGAAGTGTTGATGAGGGGAGTTGTAAATAAGTATAGCTTACTCCTTTGTACATCTGCAGTCACTGTGTTTCAGAATACCTTAGAGTTTTACATAAAAAGGTGAGTATTAAAGTATTGATAAGTGTTTGATAATCTTGTGTGAGACATGTTCTAATTTAGTTACATTTTTATTATTTTTATTATAAGGCCTGCTGAAAATGACTGAGTATAAACTTGTGGTAGTTGGAGCTGGTGGCGTAGGCAAGAGTGCCTTGACGATACAGCTAATTCAGAATCACTTTGTGGATGAATATGATCCTACGATAGAGGTAAATCTTGCTTTATATTCTACATATGGTTTGTGCAGAACGATCATCCTTTGCATAAAAAAGATACCTCTGATCATTTTTGTATTTATTAGAAAATTATACTGAAATTTATTTCAATTATATGTGATGTCCTTTAGTTTTAAGGCTTTAAACTGAGTGGTAGGTAACCATAGATGCAAAGAGCCCTACTTTCGAGAGAATGTCACAGAGAATAAGGGCTAAGGTGCCCACTGTGTCCTTGTATTTGCAGTTTGGTAAGTATGTTTCATGGTTTTGTGAGAATATAGCTTTGCATTTGATCTGTAGCTGCAGGTTTTTTTTTTGTTGTTGTTGTTGTCGTTTTGTTATTTTTGAGTCAGGGTCTCACTATGTAGCTCTGACTGCCCTAGAACTCACTACTCACTATGTAGACCAGGCCAGCTTTGAATTCACAGAGATATATCCACCTGCCTTGCCTGCCTCTGCCTCCCAAATGCTGGGATTAAAGATGTGTACCACTATGCCTAGTGCAAGTTATTTTTTTGAATGCATTTCATTTTTATGGGTTTCTTAGAATTTTGCTGTGATGGTGAAAATTGTATTATACTAGAAAAATAGAATCATTTGATGGTTGAGTTTTTTAAACTTAATATAGTTTGATGAATAAGATCTTCAGAATTATTTTCAGATATTTTTTATTCCATAAAATCTTAACCAATTAAAGGCCAACTGCTAAAGAATAAAATGAAAACCTGGAAGAGATCTTGAAAAATCAGGTAGTATGTCCTATTGCTGGCAATAGCAAAGAAGGGTTTATTCAACCTCTAAGACCAGCAGGAGGGGCTTTTCTTTAACTGTGCTTGTTAGCTCATTTTTCACAAGGTTATTCACACATTTTATGTGTGATCTAAATATATTAAATTAACATCAGTGAAACAAGAAGTAAATGTTATCTTGCCTTTGAAATAGCCTTTACTGTTAGATTATTTCTTAGACATCTTTACTGCAGGATGTGGACTTCCCAGTCCTAGCTTTTATTCTTTGTCCTACTGTTCCATTTCTAGTTTTTTGAGGTAGGTGCTAATGTACCCTGAGGTGGGCCTTCAGTTAGCTGAGGCCTAGCATGGAGTCATGGTCCTCCCTCCAGCTTCCACCTCTTAAGTGGCCTGTGTGCCTCCATGCTCCAGCAAGGCTGTGCTGGGGAGTCAAACCCAGGGCTTGTGATATGCTAGGCGATCCTTTACCCTCTATATCCCTGTTTCATGTACCAATTTAAAAAGAAACAAAAATCAGTTCTGAAGAATTTTGTAGAGCATTGGAATCATAAGCTATGAAATCTCAAGTAGGTCACCTTACTGTTATGGGTCTCTCTGTGTCTTGAAGAAACACTGTGCTGAGATGGGTTTTGAGGGCATTGGTGAGCTTGGAAAAATGTTTATGTAACTTAAAACATTGAAGGTTGATTAAAAAGAACTGTTAGAAAGTGTCAAATAATTTTAGTAGTGCACCTCCCTCCAAAAAATAGAGCAGAGAGCTGGGCGGTGGTGGTGCACGCCTTCAGTTCTAGCACTCGGGAGGCAGAGGCAGGTGGATCTCTGTGAGTTCGAGGCTAGCCTGGTCTACAAAGTGAGTTCCAGGACAGTATAGGACTAGCTATACAGAGAAACCTTGAATCAAAAAATAAAACAAACAAACAAACAAACAAAGCAGAATGCTCATTTGTAAAGATTTGACTTAAGCATAGAAAGACTTTTATTTGGTTTCCAGTTTTTAAGAAGTTGCATTGGTGAAGTAGAATCCTTTTACATTTATTTTGACAAGTCAGTTCAGGGCTGTACGTAGTTCTGCTTTTTTCTTTGAGGAAGATCAAAAAGTTCACCTGTTTTGATTGGTATTCTAAATCCACAGTTACTTGGTATGTTCTACCATTTAAATCAAATGTAAAAGGAAGTTTTAATATAATACATGTGATGTGTGGAAGTTTTCCTGGGATTTGGAAAATGATTTCAACAGAAGTAATCATCTTCCTTGAAAATCTGAGTGAGTGCATTGTGCTTTCTCCTGTCAGGTCCTAAAGCTTCATGAATATAGACACACAGAACAAGGTCAGAAATGCAGGCTAAAATAGCTTAGGAAACCTGTAGCTCAGACTTGCTAACAATCCATTATGTGCAAGGAAGGTAGAAAAGGTTTCTACATGTAAATTTCTAACTCTGAGTATGATTTCTGCCAAGCCAGAAGACTTGACTCTGGGGAGCACTGATACCCTGTGAACTTTGAAACTGACATCCCCAGGTAGTTAGCCATCTGGAGAAAAGTATCAGAGATCACCCTTATCTCACAAGCTGTGGTGAGTCTCGAGGAAACTGACAAGGTAGTTTCTTTGGGTAGTTCATCTATGAGAAAGGCAAAAGAGCTTAAAGAGACTTGGTTAAATAAAAGTGCCAGCTTCACACCATTACCAAAAGTTTTATTGATGAAAAATGTGGTCAGAGAGAAAATTCATGGGAGCTGGGTCTGGTGGCAGATACTACTCTGAGGCGGGAGGATTTCCAGTTCAAGACCTGCCTGGGTTACAGATTCGGTACAAGGACAGCCTGGGCAACATAGTGCGACCCTATCTTAAAGTGAAAAATAAAAGAAGGACTAGGGATGAAGTGCTTGTACTTTTGGAATTCCATTAGTTTCTCTACTGTAAAAAAAAAAAAAAAAAAAAGGCAAGAAGTCTTTTAAAAATTTAAATGATAATATCACTAAATTTTATTTTAGTGACTTAGACTTTGTGAAAAAATTTGATTTTTATCTCTGAACTTGGGAGGTATTCTAATCGGACTAAGGATATTTAGCTATTTAGTGGTAAGACTGAATTTAAATTTTCTGAAAACAAGTGATATTTCCACTATTGTATTTTTGTTGTTGCTTTTTTTTTTTTCTTTCTTTCTAGACAGGGTTTCAAAAAAACTTGTTTGTTGTTTGTTTGTGTTTTTACCTATAGATACAACCTGTGATTATATCAGTTTATAAATCTATATACACAGGGTTTTTCTGGGTACCCCTAGCTATCCTGGAATTCACTCTGTAGACTAGGCTGGGCTCAAACTCAGAGATTCACCTGCCTCTAGAGTGCTGGGATTAAGGGTGTGCGCCACTGCCACCTGACCACTATGGTTATCTTTTAAAGGTAAGAAAGTAGCTGTTTTTCCAACTAAGAAAATGTTTAATCATCTTCTAGATTATTCATCAGTATACTGTGACTTGAATTTAATTGACTAATGACAGCCTGTGGCAGATACACAATGGAGAACTACATAGGTGTGACCCTAGACCATATTAACAATGGAGACAGTATACATGAGGATCACTTTGACTTGTTCTGAAATATTGTTATTTTTCATGAAGTCCACTAAAGTTCTTCAAAGAAACAATTATCTTGTTAGAGGGACACGGTTATTACAGTCTCATAGGAAGTCCCCAAACAATACTCAGCTAGAAATAGCAAAGAATGAACTAGCCAGCACATCAGTTCTGAGATTAAATAAAGCCTATGTGCTGCATATAGCTTTAAACATTGCTCATACTATCAGATTCATGCCCCAGTGGTAACTTTTATTTTGGTTTTCAAGTATGACATAGATTTAAGTTCACCTTTTGTAAAGTTAAGTTGCTATGCATTATGTTATTTTACTCTAAAGTTGACTAAAACACTGACTTGAAAATAGTTTTATTTTAAAAGCAGTTTTGTTTAAAGCTGTGACCAGCTCTTCTCCCTTTTGTGAGTGCCCTCTACTGGTAACTTACTTGCTTTTATAATAAATAACAATGAAAGCTCAAGTTTGTTGTTTTTTGCTATAGATACAACCTGTGATTATATCAGTTTATAAATCTATCAACTTTACTTGGGTGTCTTATATGTAATTAATAACTTAACATTTTTTACATGGGTTTTACTCTGCTAACACTGATACAGAGATTACTATGTATATTACGTAGGCTTAGCTAAGTAGATGACATATGTACAAGAGGAAAGGAGACCGAATAGGAGAACAGACTGCATTTCCCTGTGAGCACTGGTGGGCTTAACTTGTTGGATGAAAGGACTAAAAGCTGCAGTGTGCTCTGAATTTACCTGCTTGTGCTCTGGGGCCACTGCGTGGACTTTGAAGCATTGTGTGTCAACAAAGGGTTCTAGGAAGGGCTTGTTCAAAATGACAAACAGAAGGTTCCCATTTTGTAGACTAGTTGAGTTGTCTAACTAGAAAAAAATCAGGCAGTGTTTTTAGATTAGTGTTGAGTATTTACTTAGTATTTATTTAGACCTGAATTTTAAAAATTTATTGGCTGTGTATCTGAGATTCTTATGACTAGGTTTTAAGAAAACCTGGAATTCCTTAATTCATAAAATATTATTCAAAGCTCACTTTGTCCCATGAAGTTTTCCTGAGGATTAGAGAAACATTAAGGAGCCAAAAGACTAGCTAGATCCTTCCCTTGATGATGCCTATTCATTTTATATGTATTTTTTAGGAGCAGAATTTAAGTTAGTGATCCAAGACTTTATCCTTTGAGACCATTAGTTTCTTATCTCTGTGCTGGAATGTAGCTCCTTGGTAGATTTCTTAGCTGGCATGGGTGCCGGGAACTGAACTCAGGTCTTCTGCATGACCAGTATATGCTATTAATTGCTGAGCAACCCATACCCTCTTATTGTGATCTTAATTTAATAAAGTTAGTAGTAATGAATAGTGATAAATACTGAGAGAGTTAGTGATGCATAATGCCTTAGATAATGGTTTCAACTTTTAATTTTGAAAATTTCAGACCAATAAAGTCCATCATGAAGTTGGAAGTCAAGGCAGGAACTCAAGGCAGGGACTGAAGCAAAGGTCATGGAGGAATGGTGCTTACTGGCTTGCTCTCCATGGCTGGCTAAGCCTATCTGCTTATTCAGTTCAGGACTACCTGCTCATGGTGACACCACTCAGAGAGGGCTGGACCCTCCCACATCAGTCATCATTCTGGCT